TTGAATAATTTTTCAAATTATTTTTCAAGATACCTTAATTTTTTTCCATATTTATTAGGCCACAAGAATATTGTTATTCAATATTTATATATCACAAATTTCAATAATATTTACAAAAGTAAGAGTTAATAACCATCGTTGATATTATTATTCAATATGTATATATCAAATTTTTCAAAATAGTATTTAAAAAATATATCTAAAAGTTTTCAAAAAATAAAATATGTCGACCAGATGCACTGTGATTGTGTTCATGCATCACACTAATTTTGAATTTACTACATACACTTTATTTTTGAATAATTTTTCAAATTATTTTTCAAGATGCCTTAATTTTTTTCCATATTTATTAGACCACAAGAATATTGTTATTCAATATTTATATATCACAAATTTCAAAAATATTTACAAAAGTAAGAGGTGTGAAATGATTTAGAAGTGGAGCCAGATGCGAGTTAGAGATGATTTTATTTGAGATGACTCCGGAAAGAGGTCAATGCTATATATATATATATATATATTATGCTACGTAATTTTTATAATTCTTTCAATTTTTTTTTCCTCTACAATATCATTGATCCACGTAATAAAATACATACCTATTAGTTAATGCTTACAATAAAATATTAATAATAACATAATTAAAACACGACTAATGCAATTTAAATTAAAATAAGTAAAAAAACTTATTCAAATAATTTTAATTATTTTTTTTCTTTTAAATCTTAAAATTATTACCTTAATTTTTTACACAAAATTTTAATTATTTATTTAAGGTCGTACATAACATGAGTTTTATGCTGACATATCTATACTATTATATACAGTGAACAAGTTTGTTAGTGTTTAGAGGCCTTTCTTTTTCCTTATGTCAAGCGTATATTTCTCCATTCAAAAATAAAATATTAATTAAATAAAGAAGAGAGTAAGATTTGAACATAAGACTTTAGGGATGAAAAAAGGATTAATTACTCACAGTCCTATTTGTAAGGTTGGTACCTCATTAAATTCTACTTCATTATTTTTAATCAATAGGTCCCATGTTCAAAATATTTGTATATTTGACTATTTTACCCTTATTAAAAGGTAGAACAATTTCAAAAATGTCAATATTTGTGTATTTGTGTATTTGACTATTTTACCCTTATTAAAAGGCAGAACGATTTGAAAAACGTCAATTCAGTGCTAATAAAAAAATTATTAGGTGCTCTAAGTGCACTACATAATAAAATTATTAGGCACTCGAACCAAGACCTTCAAAAGTACTGTGAGTTCACGAAAACCGCTCAAGCGCAAGAAAATTCGCTCAAGCAAACAAACAGAATTTTGGGCAATAACTCCTTTGAAAAATGAATTCCCAACCTGTTTCAAACGCAACCGCAATATTCAAACAATCCAATTCAACAAGGAATAAGGTGAATAAGGATATGAACAACCATCAAGATAAGGAATTCCAAATCCAAAACAATAAATGGGTCGAGTCTAAACCAGAATCGTTGTATTATACACATTTATTTTCAATAAAAATTATATTTTTAAAATCTACACAAAAAGATTTATCAAACAAGACCAATATTTAATATAAGATTTTATTAAAAGAAAATGTTATTTTCCTAGCTATATGAAACTAACAATTTCTCAGTATGCGAAATTATCTAGGAAAATTAAAAAAATTCTAAATTTTTTTTCTAGTATTAACTGAGAATATTATCAATTTTTGAGGAATTTCTCAGCTTTGCCAGTGTTAAAATTGACAATATTATAATTTTTTTCAATTTTAAACTGACAATATTCTTAATTTTAAAATTAAAAAAAATCAGAAAAAAATATTCTCAATTTTGCACAGAAATAGTTCATATAATTGTTTCATCGACTAAGAAAATTTCTCAATTTATTTATGTGTGAAAGAGATACTTTATTTGTTTAAAATTTAATTTGTGCTTAGAAATTAAGAAAATTGTAAATTAACTTACTTTTTAATTTTTGAAACTAAGATGGTTTTTCAAACTAAAGCATTTTTCAAATATTAGGAATCATATGTTTTAGATAAAATTCATAATTTCACTCTATTTGTTTTTAATTTTTAGATAAAAGTTATAATATTTTTAATGTAACTTCCTCGTTTAAGTATGAAACTTTTTCAATTGTGTATGAAGTTTTCTCTTAAATAACTCAACCAACTCCATATATTTTATAGGAAAATGCTTCGACCAAGCAAATATTGTTAATTAAGTAAATTAAGAAAACTTACTATTAAAAATTATTTAAATTGTAAATTTAGAATAAAAAAATATATTCTTATTTTTATATAATTTATATTTAATATTAGTCTTCTTGATTGATTTTGTTGTGTTGATTTTACAAATATACATTTTATAAAAAAAGGAAATGTATGTTGTAAAAATTATTATGTTTTGAAGTTTTGAAAAAAATACTATTATTCTCACTCCACTTTACTTCAAATACATTCTCTTATTTATTTATTTTTTATTATACATAGTTACATCAATCTCCTTTCATACAAAGCACATTCACTATAGGAAATATAACTTTTAACGACGTTTATTTAACGGCGTTTTATTAAACGCCACATTTTATAATATGTAACGACGTTTTTTAAACGTCGCTTTTTATTTAAATCAAAACGGCACCATTTCATTAACCAAAGGCGTTTAAAAACGCCTTCGAATGTCCTATATCTCTTCCTCGGCGAGCGGGTGAATATCAAATATAATAGCCCTAATCTCTCAGTCTCTCACCCTCTCGTTCACTCTCTCGCTCTCCTTCATCTCTCGCTGTAGCCCTAATCGAAGTTCTCTCTCTCTCGATTTCGATTTCGAAATCTATGTTTGGGTGATTCGTTCTCAATTTCGAAGCTTATTTTGAATCTCAGAATATTTGTTAAAGCCTTTGTAAACCCTTATATTGAATCCTCACGCCTTCAAATCTCGCCTCTCTCTCAACGCTCTCTAAACCCTTATCATTCTCACGATGTTGCTCCAGAACGATGTCATCTTTCAGAGCGATTTTGATTTCGAAGCTCCACAACCACCACTGGCGACGCAGCAACCACCATCGGCGAGCGATTTCGATTTCGAAGCTCCAGAGCGGTGTCTCTCTCTCTCTCTCTCTCTAGATCTCTCTTCATCTTTGAGATTCAGAGATTCAGATCGGTCTCAGTGATTTCATCTCAGAGCGATTTCGAAGCTCCAGCGAGGTATCGATTTCTCTCTCTCTCTCTCTCTCTCTCTCTCTCTCTCAAGCCCTTTCTTCCTGTCTCTCTCAATTTCTCAATTTGGTATTTATTTGCTTGGAAACCTGTTCAATTTCTTCTTTTGCTTGCTTTGTCATTCTTCCTTAATATGTTGTTTTTAGCAAATTTGATGTCATTCCTAGATAGTTGGCCCTTGTTTCTGTGTCATTCCTGTAATTGAATGATGAAATTCTAGGAGTTTCATATCTTACAAAGCCATAAGATATGTATCTGGTTCAAAATGCAAAGTTTAGTTTGCTTATCCCTCCATGGCTTCGGGTTAGTTCAAGTGTTCTTTGCGTAGTTTTCGTAGTACTTGGACTCTAGGTATTAAAGGCACTGTTATGCACATTCCCCTAGTGTTAGTGTTCTTTTTCATATATGAATTGTAGACTATTGGTCACTACTGCATCTACAAATTTTTGGGATGATGCTCTTCAATCTTTTTGTTCTTTTAAGGTTCTAAATTATACATTCTGTTTTTTAAGCTTATATTGACTATCTTATGCATTTGATATGCTTTGCAGTCCTGCAATTCTTAGGTATCTTGCTTGTGCATTTCCTGGAGTAGCTAATCACTGGTGAGAATTGTTGCTTCTTTTTTGCAATTAGTTTGCCTATAAGGACCTGTGTTATAGCATTGAAATGACAATTCTAGTTGGGCCAAATGGTTCTATTGAAATGAGAATTCTAGAAGCTTAAATTTGTTCACTTTAATTTGCACAAATCCCTCCCAGAAATCTGCTGTTGTGTGTACAATATAACATGAGTCTACCATTTGATCAACATATAGGCTATAGTTTGAAAACATCACAATACAAGCTTGTTGTAATACTTTAACTTGAATTGCACATACCCTTCTTCTTTTTTTTTTTGGGGAGGGGGGGAGAGGGGAAGTTGGTGGATTTTGTTAATTGTGTGATATTGATTGTCTTGTTGTAAGGAGGAATTTTTGGGTTTTGGGTCATAGACCCACCCATGGTTTTGATGGCTGAAACTGTTGTGTTGATACGATTGATACATTCCTACAGTTCAAGCAGCACTGCCTCGCCTTTTAGGAGCTGCTGCTTCTCCTGGAGTTGCTGCTCGTGAAAATCGCCGTCAGTGTCTCAAGGTAATTGTAACATTTCATACCAGTGAGGGTGCCATCATTTTTTTGCTAAAGATAAATTGAATTAATTGTATCCCATAGGTTTTGCGATTATGGCTTGAGAGGAAAATCTTACCTGAGTCTCTTCTTCGCCAATATAT